ACACTACTGATTCTGGTTTATTTTTTCCTTAAATTCTTTGATATTCCCATGCATGTTCAGGTGTAATCCTTTAAAAACAGAGACTTTTCTACCGGCAAACCTATGAAAGCTGGAGGAGCTGGGGCGGGGGGGCAAAGAGGGCTGTGTTGGCCAGGTGTCGGGGGAGAGGAGGGAACCCAGTTAGTGCTTCTCGCGTTTGCCGATGAGGGTGTAAATATTTACTGGAGGAGAAGGGGGAGGGGGGGGGAAGGAAAAAAAAAAAAGAAAAAAAAATCATTTATGAAAGCTCAGATCTAAAAATTCAGAAAAGTGGATTATCGCTTGTGGTTCTAGTTTTTGACAGAAAAAGTCTTCCTAAGTAGGCACTTGTGAAGCATGGTATCAAGACTACAGATAGGGTTTAAGCACACAGCTTTGCAACATTTAGTAGTCTATCCAATATTATGGAAAGAGTTATCATATGCTTTTGACTTTACAGACTACTGTCCAGTGTCTACTAGCCATTTTCAAACTGCTCTTTAAAGTTAGTTATATGCTGAATCACTCTCCATCTTTAAATAAGTATATCCATCATTCTTACAACCTGTCTTCAACATACATTACAGTTTATCACCCTTCCCTGTTATTACATCTCAAAGAAGATATGGGTATCAAACAAGTCCCTAAAATGCTTTATCTGTCTTTTCTCTAAGACAAAATCTAAAGAGCCATTTGGAAGATCTGGTAAAACAACACAATCTGAAGTGTCACAAATGTGTGGACAGTTACCTACAGTATCTCTTTTGTCTCATATAGATAGCAAATAAATGCTTACCTGAAACCACCACTTGCATGAAGAATACCCTGAACTCAAACAAGATTGAGGTGATGGCAAAGAAAAAAAAAGAAGGGGGGAAAAAAACGGGGGGGGAAAAAAGGGAAAAAAGAAAAAAAAAAAAAGAAAAAAAGAAAAAAAAAGGTGTTCTCTTGAAGAATATATCATCACTGGAATATGCTCCACCTTTGGGATCCCTATTCACATGAATTTTCTGAAGTCTTGGATCTTCTAAGCTTCTTACAGTTCTAGGATGCCTACTGCTGCCTGTATGTGCCCAGACAATTTAGCCTTCTTGTCAGAGGCAGATGAGGTTACAGGTGTCTAGGAGTTACTGACTTCCTGACTCAGTTATCACATAAAAATTCACTACATTTACAGACATTATTATACACCATGGAAGAACTTCCACTGTAACAGAACTCAATACCATATCTGCTTAAAGACAGAGAATATTTGTATTATTTCTATGGTTACAGTCTGAATTAAATTCAATTACTATTCTGAAAAGGAACCACAGAGATCCTACATTACCCTGGGTTGTACTTGGTTTTCATCTACTTTCACTAGATAAATACAAGAATATAAAAAGCAGGGAATTGAGGTTTGTTTTTCTGAAAAAAACCCAAAACATTTGGGAGGTATGCATTATAACATAAGAAGTATCTTACATAAACTATCAAGGGTAGCATCCAACCAGAAATGTAAGGGAAAAGATATATAAGTTATAACTTGGGATTCTCTTTAATCTTTTACAGAACAAGACTGTTCTGTTGCCAGAGAAGGAAATATTCTCAAACTCATTTTAGTTTCTTAGATGATTTAAAATTCTCTTTCAAGATACACGATGTATAGGAAACTACATATCTGAGTCTTATTGCAGAAGAATGTTCAACAATGGAAATTAATACATCATATTCACTTCAGCATTAATGACTTAAATTCTGATTCATACTACAATTGCTGTGGTTCCTTCAGATCACTCCCAGATATTTTCCAAGTTAATCTTAAAATCAGTTCTATCTTGGCAGATACAGTTCCTTGATCTCTTTCATAGGTGTTTCCAAAATACATCTTAAGCAGCTGTAGTTGTTGTTAGACCAGTGGGGAAAATATATCACACATTAGAAATGTACCTGAACATGTAGGTGATGGTCATCTTAAACTGTGTTTCCGTATATTCCTTTAGGATAACGACCTCAGAGATTTCCCATAACCTATAAAACAAAGCTGTCTGATTGTAGTGCTTGCTGTAATAGTGCAGGAGATTAGAAAAAGTAGCAACTGCTCTGTTCAGTGACTGGGCATGACCTGGAGAGATCCATGTTAAGTTAAAAAATTTATTTCATGTTTGATGGAAGTTCCTAATGCTTTATGACCTTGTTTTGTGAGCTGGCATCAGTGTAAGTCAGAAGCAGATGTATCCAGGTAAAAATACTTTGAGGTGGTAGATGCATGGTATTAATGGGAATTAGACTCCCTTAACAAATGAAGCATGCTTGCAGACAGCACTGTGAAATTTTTTTCCCCTAACCTCCTAAGTAGCAGCTAAGAACAATTTCATCTTTTGAAGTCTGCTATTTAAGTATTTTACTAATATATAGAGGAAAGTTCCTTTAAACATAGTCATGCATCAGGCTAAGATAACGTAGTAACTTTAGATCAGAATGATTATATAAATTATGCAAGTAGGCGTAAAAAATGTCTCTATCCTTTCCTCTTCTGTTCCCATCCACTGTAATATTTTTGGGTTTTTTAAAATCAGAACTGTCACTTGATCATGTAGCATTTTCCCTAGATTTTATTCTTCATTGCAATTTAGCTATTGTCGTGCTAGTTTACATTTCTTTTGTATACCCAGGAGAGAGAATTGCACTGGAAAAGCCTCCTCATTTGCTGTGGAAAGCTCCATACTTTGATATTTCACAAATATTTTAAAACAGACCAAATAAGATTTTGAAATTGCACTTGCTTTTTTTTGCTAGTTTAACTTCTGTTAATTAAATTAGACATCCTGCAAAGAGGTTAATTTTTTGTTTTGAACCTGTCACATCTTTTCAAATAATTCAACAGGCTAATTAAGGCACGTAGATGGGACAACAGATGAGCTCAAAATAAACAATGCAGAACCAATTTCAAGCTTTTGAATAAGATTTGAGATTTGTTTTCTTCTTAGCCCGAAAACAAAATACTTTTATGAGCCTTGTCAGGAGTCTGAGAACATGCAGTGGTTTTATTAAAAGACTAAATTATTCCCATTTTGGAAGGCATTCATATATCAGATGTATATTGGAGTAATGATTATGACCAAAAGTTAATTTTTTGTAACTAATGCTGATAGAGATGCCAGCTTTTCTTGTTTCTTCCTCATTCCTCTTCATTTTCTTTATTTTCCTTCCCAAATATAGTAAAGTGTGGTGAATATGCATAAATCTTGCATATAATGCCCCTTAGTGAGGAAGGTGCTTTAAAGAAACACAGATTATGTTGTTACCTAATGTTCAGCTAAGTAAACACTGCATCCACCCTCTTAATGCTGTCAGTATGTAAAAGGCAATGTCTATGTTAATGTAATACTATATTTAGCTTTGTACATCCACGAAAAGAAGCCACTACATTTCAGTTTATAGGTAAAGTGTAATGCTAATGTGAACAGCAAAAACCCCTTGCCAATAATAAATAGGAATTTGCTATTTTTCTTTTGATTGGAGATTACTATGTCACCAGTTTTAGTTTATGGAAACTAATTTCCATACTCATCACTAAAAGGAATACAATTTGCAAGAAATTGTTTATAGTGGGAGAACAAAGAAAGCAGCAAAGATATGAAAAGCAGTGAATGAGGTGAGAATTAGGGTTTTCACTTTTTTCTATTGATAATCGAAACTGAAGAAGGCTACTGCCACAACTGCTTGGAAAGAACAGTACCAGTAGAAAAGTAAAAATTATATTTTTCAAGATTTTAAAAAGTTGAATAGGTCCTAAATTGTGCAAGATACCGGAGCAAGCAAAATTTGAGACAAACCATGGTGAAATTTCTTTATGCCTGCCTTTCTATAACATCTCTGAACAGCTCCATTATGAACCACCTAAATACAGTTGGTCTGAGTTTTTCAGTCCAGTTACCAAATAAGGAATAAATTTTTTGCACAGCTCTGTTTCATCTTTGTTCTATCTTCATCTAAGCCTGTAGACCTTTGATTCACATCTCTCAGGCTCATGAATCTCCAGCATCCAAAACTTCTGGGGCTTACAGATTCCATAACTTTAGACCCAGCCTCATCAGACAGCTTGCCCTGAAGCAGGGACTCTGTTCCTTTTCTCAGGGAATTTTGAAATGACTGCTATTTGTTCTGAACTGGGGAGGAGCATCTAGTTAACCCCAGGCATCCACCTTGGATTCCAGTACTGGGAATTTATCCAGTGGGTTTGACTCATTGCCCTGATTTACACCTGTGAATTTATATTATATTAATTTCCATCTGTGTTTTTGTTTGCACCTGTGCAGAATGACTATGAAATGCTACCATTCTTGTTTGGTAGCACTTTAGTTTTTCATCTTGTGTATCTACCTGGGGGGTAAGGCTGTGGGCAAACAGACTTAGTGTGTTTAATAAATGAGTTGTCCTAATTTCAGCACTCTCTAATTATTGTCTAAAAGTTGAGCAGATGAAAAGTACTTTGAACACACATAGTTGTTCCTACCAAAATGTCTGAATGTCACACATTATTACTAAAAATCAAAATGAAAATTGCAACATGTTAAAGAGTGGGTATTTGTATTTTCAGATTAATAGAGCAAAACTTCCTTACTGGAAAATGACCCTGCTAAATGTCTGCAATCTTGTCAACAACATAAACAACCAAGTGGAGGAAACAGTAGAGGTAGATGAAGAGGATCTCATTTCAGGAAGACAGTTTCCTGCTGCTCTGGATGGCTTCAGCTTGGAAGCAATGCTGACAGTATATCAACTCCAAAAAGTTTGCCACAGCAGAGCCTTTCAGCATTGGGAGGTAAAACAAACTGTCAGAAATGCATGTTTCAACTGCTGTTAAACTCTCAGGCTCTGTTTGTAGTGATGTTCTAAAATCTGTATCTGTGACCCTTGACATATCATCTGAGCTTTCCTTCTCTAATACCTCTAATATGCCTCTTATTTAAAGAGTTGTGAATTAATGCAGTTTCTGATGAGCTGTCTGTTTTTTATAACAACCCATGGATAAATGAGAACTATTCTTAGCTACATACTTTCTCCACTCTTTGTAGCCATTCCAAGAAACCAAACAAACACATGAAAGTGAGTTCTATGCCAGAACACAAAATTAATATCTGCTTAACAGACATGAAGTTACTTCAAATTTATTGAGGAATAACTAAATATAGGCAGTTTCTGAAAACCCTTTTAAGGCCCTAAGGCAAGCTGCATTCAAAATGCATGGACACATGCCCATGCGTACATGTAATTTTACCAGGTACTCTGGACTTCTTAGCATTGCTAGGAAACTGGTAGCAAGGAAAGTCTTCCTTTTTGCTTCCCCACACCTAAAGAGGGTCCTGGACATTGACACTATGATTGTATGAAGATTGCTGCTCTTAAATATTGCTTGTTTGTAGTCCATTTGTGATATTTATTTTAGCACAATGATCACATAGATGCACACTGGACACAATCCACTTGAATTGTCATATATTACAATAAGAACTGCTTTGCTTAGCAAAACAAATATATTTCAGTGTTACTGTCCACTTTCCAGTAAACCCAGTTTCTTTAGCTGTCACCAGTTGGTGACTGAATCTTAATACTCTTTTGTTTGCTGAATCACAGCTCTGTATTTGCAGGCTTATTCTCAAGCCTTCATATTAGCTGGGATGGTGCATACAAAAGACTGAAACATCTTTGAGAACCAGTTTCCTGAGGACTCTTTTCATCAGTACATTTATTGCTGAAAAGTACTGTCCTGGTTTCAGCTGGGATAGAGTTAATTTTCTTCCTAGTAGCTGGTATAGTGTTGTGGTTTGGATTTAGAATGAGAATAATGTTGATAACAGATGTTTTTAGTTGTTGCTAAGTAGTGTTTATACTAAGTCAAGGATTTTTCAGCTTCTCACGCTCTGCGAGCAAGAAGGCTGGAGGGGCATAAGTTGGGAGGGGACACAGCCAGGACAGCTGACCCAAACTGGCCAGAGGAATATTCCATAGCATATGACATCATGCCCAGTATATAAACTGGGGGAGTTGGCAGGAGGGGTGGATTGCTGCTCAAGCACTGCCTGAGCATTGGTCAGTGGGTGGTGGGCAACTGCATTGTGCATCGCTTGTCTTTCTTGGGTTTTATTTCACTCTCTTTTTGTTATCTTTCTTTTCATCATCATCATCATCATCATCATCATCATCATCATCATCATCGTCGTCGTCGTCGTCGTTGTTGTTGTTATTATTATTATTATTATTATTATTATTATTATTATATTTAAATTCAATTATTAAACTGTTCTTATTTCAGCCCACAAGTTTTACTCTTTTTCCCTTTCTAATTCTCCTCCCTATCCCAGTGGGAGCAGGGAGGAGTGAGTGAGCAGCTGTGTGGTGCATAGTTGCCAGTTGGGGTTAAACCATGACAACGAGATACCACAGAACTGACTATATGCAATAGCCCATATGACTTAATCATGGTTTCTTACTTTACAGTTGCATCACCTCTTGTGGTAGATGGGAATCATCACTCCTAAAAGTACCACATTTGAAACTGAAAAAGAATATTCCTCTCTCAGCTTAGGAACACGCTTATGCAGTGCAGAGGTTTATAAGACAATAAGAGAAGGATAGTGCCAGAGGGAGAAGGGTTGAAGAAGGCTTGAAATAAACAATTTCTATAATGAAGGAAGTTCTTGTGATCTTATTCATCCAGAATTGACTCCAAAGTCTGTTGAAACTATGAGAGTTTTCCCATCTAAATAGAGTTTAGATGAGCACTCATTTATTAAGTAATTAAGTAAGTGTTTGATTGCTTAGGGAAATACTGAGGTGAGTACAAAAATGTTTTCAAGTTTAATACCTTTCAGCCAGACAGTAGGACTGTACTTGACCATGGAAGAACTTGATGTGAGAATGGATGAAATCTTAACAGTTAAAGCAAGAACAAATCTAAGCAGAACACTTTGAAAACTCCAAGTAAAACACAAAACACTGTTATATAAGAAATTTCAATTAACAAAATTTTGGCTTTCTTGTTCTTTATTTAATTTCTTATTTGTTTATTACACATTTTGACTTTTTAGCTGTAGGAAGTTGCAGATAAATAATATTGCTCAAAACCAGCAAGCAGTGGGTGTTTTAGGAGGTGTTTTGCCTAAATGAGTGTTTACAGAATGACAGTCCTTAGGAAGTTTTCAGGCAATTTGAGTTTTAGTCCAAGGAGGACATGCCAGCTTTTCTCTCTAGTCAAAGCCAATGATCTCAGTTGTTTCAGTGGAATTTAAATATCACCTCCATAGGCTTCAGCTCATCTTTAGCCTGATCTTAGTTTTGTGTCTTAAGTTTTGGTCTTTTTTTTTTTTTTTGTCTTTTTTTTTGTGTGTGTGTTTTTGTTTTGGGTTTTTTTTTGTTTAAACCCACAACTACTATGGTAAAGATTTTTCTTGGTGGCAGATGTTTAAGTTTTAGAAAGCTTTCTAAGAATTGATGATTTTCATCACCAAAAAAATCTATAATATTGTGTATCTTCTTGCATCCTACAGTTACTTCAGCAAGATGCTTTTGAGCTAGAGAACTCAAGCCAAGATAAGGAAATAATGAAAAGAAAAAACCCTTATATTCTGAAACGGCAGCTACATGTGAACAAAGCTAGAAGACCATACATACTTAAGAGAAGTTCATATTACTGATGCACCAGAAGAAAACAAATGTATATTTAGTTTGTAGGTAACTGTGCATTATGGTTATCTTACTTAAATCTTAAATCATACTTGTGTGAAAATATACTATGGAAAATCATCAAGATTATGACATAACTGTGTCTTTTTTGCAATTGCTGTTTCTTGATTGTGATTTTTTTCCTACTTGAGATTAATTGGACCAATACATTTGCAAATAAATCTAGTTTCTAAGCATGATGTATTGTACAAAATTGAGATGTCAACATATTTCCAACAATACTGTAGTCTTTTCCTATTTTATAAAGCACACGAACATACACCATGTAAATTGATATTGTCCATAAATCCTACTGAGAATCTTACAATTCCTTAATGCAACACATCAAACATATATATGCTTACAAATTTTTGTATAATACACTAGTCAGAAGTGCCACAATATTTTATGTATTGGCCAGTTTAATTTATTGGGAATTAGGTCTAAGGAAGGAAGAAAATACTATCAGCTACCTATTAAGTAGCAATTTCAAAATTCGTATTTTAAATAACCTGCTTGTAAATGAATTTTGAGTTCTTGACTCCTAACTCGCCACTGAAGAGCCATAGTTTAAGAAAACAATACACAAATGAGACTTTATCAAAGTATGCTAGTGAGAACAAACCCAGGTGTGCTTCAGAGTCCTGTATATCACTGACTAAATGAAGAAAACAATTTATTAAATAAGTAAAAGAATTTATAGTGTCTACCTAATCTATGAATTCTCAGGGAAAAAAAAAAAAATAAAAAAAAAAGTGGATTCATGCTCCTATGCTGTCACTGTTAAAATACTAATCTGGTTATATGAGAAACTTGGGAGAAATATTTGAAAGAGGAATTTAACATCAAGACATCTTAAAAGGCATTTCCTTTCCTTCCCTCTATACATTTGTAATATCAACAGGCAGTTTCAGAGGTTAAAGACAGTCTTGGAAGCTGAAGGAGTGGGAAGCTCCCAGTATGGAAAAATTTGTTTTCAAGCTGTGAGGAATCAAGTGTCACCTGTAACTTCACATTTTCCAGCTCTGTGTCTGTGGTGTGTACATGAGACTGGGGATCTCAGTGATCTTGGGTTCCAGTCTGGAGGAAAACAGTCTGATAAAACTGGGGGTCACAACAACAATCAGAGGGATAGTCGAAGACCAATGAGGCCTGGATGCTCAGACCAGGAGGCAAAAAATGGGGCAGACATTGCTTTTGAAAATCTACCAGTTTTCTGTTTAAGGTATTTCCTCAAAGCAATGCTGTTGCAAGAGATTGTCAGAAAAGAACACTCAGAGAATTTCCAAATCCTCTCAAAGGTCAGATTTTTTGTCATTTCTTGATAAACATATACAGGGATATGCATAGAAAAAACATATCCATACCAATGCTTATACCAACTTTGTTACATGGGAGGGATGGAATTTTTTTTACAGTAAAATGTATTTGCACTATATCAAAGCTAACTAGATTTCTTTTTCTCACTGCAAAAGTTATTAGTAAATTTATTTATTCAATAGCCACTAAATGCATGCACTCACAAGATATAGCTCATACATGAATTACTGTAATAATCATTATGACTTGAATACTCAAATCACTTAAGCACATTTTATCTCAACTTGTTAAATGCTTAATATGTGCTTAAGGCCTTTGCTTAAATAAGATTCTAGTATATTCATACCCTTTATTTTTTTCTTAAACTGTCGTAGGCTTAAACTGAAGACACAGTATGCTCTCAAGGGGCTAAGAATCATCCCTCTTTCCAACAGACCTACAGGCTCCTTAGTCCTATTATGGATAATTTAAATCCCAAATTATCTGTTCGTCTGAAATAACAAAGCAGAACAGAGTTTATTCCAAAATTCACTGCTAGCAGTATATCAGGAACAAAGAAAAGAAACTTCAGATCAGTATTTCATGGGGAACACAGAAGAATAAGATGAAATAGGTTATCACATTTTTTCTCTTGTTCAGTTTAAGAGTATGAGAGTCAAAAAAAAAAAAAAAAAAAAAAAAAAAAAGAGTAGGTTAAGGTAACATGATTGTCCTCTGATAGAGAATGTTAAAATTTTCTAAGACAAAAGCACCCTTCCATGTTTCATTTTTAAGCTGATTTAGATATTCAGGGTGATGACAGAGGACCTCAAATGATGATGATTTACTGTTCCACCCTCATCTAGTGCTCCACACTCAAGTGAGACTTACCCTGTGACTGTGTACTTTTTCCCTGCAGTGCAGAGTTAACAGATTAGCCAGACTGACTGGCTGAAAATGACTTAAAATAACCCATTTCCTTTCATCATGCTGTGAATCCACACACAGTCAGCTACTGTGTCACTGGAGGAGGCAGAGCTTAAAGGATGGCAGGAGGTGGCATGTTCAGTTGTTTCCTAGGGTCTGACGGAGGGGTTCAGGGAACTGTCAGAGGAATGTCATCCAGAGTGAGAGATGGTCCTAACCAGATGAGGAAACAATATCTATAATTGTAACATGGTCAGTAAAGATACAGTGCTGGCATTTTAGCTTATTGGTCATTGGTGAAAAGCAAGCATAGCAGAATAAAAATATTAAAAACCACACTTAAACCATATGATTAAGCCAGATATACAGATCTGTTAAGGGATATTTTGATGTCTGGGGGACCCTTATTTTCTTTCCTCTCTACTAGCTGTTGCTACTTCCTGATGACCTCACTGCTGTGGAATTGCAGCCTGCCTTTAGCCTTCCTTTTTGGATGATGGCAGCAAAAACTGGGCACGTTTATGTATATTTGTTTCACACACTGTTTCAGTGGGATCCTCAGGGAACCCGCCTTGGCCATAGCAGTGGGTGCTGAATGCAGTTCAGGCCAGAGGAGGCCCTCACAATATGTAAAGATTTGTAAATTCAGACAGATGGTGGTTGGTTTTGGTTTGGTGTGGTGTTTTGTAATTGCCTTAAGTTTGAAAGCATTTTTTTGAAGACTATTAATTCAGATTGCTACCTTGGCTTAAAGAATTGCCTCTTGATAGGACAATTTTGTTTTATAAAGGCAATTACTGAGAGATTTGCTCTCTTTGTCTCCGAGCTCATTTTTCCTACATATTCTATTGCTGATGTTTTTCCAAAGTTCATAGATGAATAATTATACCAATTATTCAGAAACTTTTTTTTTCGGTTATTTCTCATACTCCTAAAATATTGAATACTGTCATAAAGAGCAATTGCAGAAACTTCTCAGTTATTTCTAATGTAGAATTAAATGTAACTGAGATTTCATTTGATTTTATATATTTTAATAGCTATCATCCATAATCTTACAAATGCCCTATACAAGAAAAGTAAAAGATAGATAAGATAAAGGAATAATTTTATCATCTCTGAAGCATATATTCATTAGTTTTTCTTTAAAAGAAACATTAAAAAATAATAGTATTCTCAAAGTTAAAAGTGATAAAATAAGTCTTCAGCTTTCTCAAGTCTTGCTTGTGGTATATTATAAAATTTCCACTTTTCAGTCTTTCTGTTATAAGTCTAAGCTTTGTTCAAGTAAGAGGTTAATGGTTTATGTGTGAACAGAGTGGATGAAATGTGGAGTTTGCAGATTAAAAGAGATTTAATTTTGCGATGTATGATTGTGGCTATGCCTCATACCCTATTCTTAACAAACAATGGAGACATGATAATTTGGTCTTGATCTTTATTCTTTTTCCCCAAGATTAGTTATCAGTTCGCACTATGTGGTATCAAACTGAAGATGAAAGCCACCACTATAATACTTGAGTGTAGGAGGGCAGAAAGAGAAGCAGGTTCTTCTGAAATTCCCCAAGGTTCCAGACAGTTCATTGATGTTCTCCATATCCAAAATATTGGACCGACTGAAGACAGTCATAAAACAGAGTTGCAGTGAGCCATATAAAGTTGCAGTGAGCAAAATAAAGTATACTGGCTTCTAAGACATAACAATGAAGTCAGCACTTGTACCTTTGTGACCAGGAAGCAAAATGTGGACAGAGGGGTTGATCTGCACAAGGAACCTGGGGAATGAGATACTTCCTGCTGCCAAATTCAAGCATTCAAAAGTCGTGAGTGAGGCTGCAAAAACCTGCAGAGAAATAAATATCTAGATAGACAAACAAACGAATAAATACATACCCCTGACATCTAAATAGATTGATAAATAGATGTCAAATGTTTTTTATTTCCCTCCATTTACTGGACTGTCAAGGAGCATCTGAATCACATTTTTAAGCTTTGTCAACAAGAGGAGCTAAACCATATTGGTTTGGTTTTATTCATTGCTACTTAAAATTGACATTCTCATCCAATCTCTTGAATCTAACAGGAGTCACATTAAGACACACACAAAATCACAATGTTGATCAGATTTCAAAACCTGTCAGATCCAGGATACTGACAGACACAATAATCAGACAGTGAACTAGAAAGAGCTTTGTGGTACCTCATTAGCAGGCAATCTTTGGCTGTCTGAATGACTCCTCTGAGATGGCAATAGGGGGAAGGGGCATGGGAGATACCCAGGAACTTTTGGAGGGGTGCCAGCTACTGAGAAACATAAAGCCTTTAGGAGCTGTTTGTTGCCTAAGACTTGCTTTTTCCAAGTAGAATGCGTACAGCTGTTGTCTCAAGACACTCATCACATCCCTTCATACAGAAGAAAAAGATGGGACTATACATAACTAGACTTGAATTACCAAGGAATAGCATTTGTCTGCTTGAGCTCACAGACTGTCAAGTACCAGTCTGTTTTGTCTCAGTAATTACAGTGCATTATTAGTCTGGAACCATTTTCTATTTCACTCCTGAAGCCCAGTTGTAGGAACCTTTTTCTGGATGTGTGTCCCTTATGTGTACATAAGGGGCTTCTCAGATAGTCTACACATTGCTTTCATAAATGACTGACAGTAGCCTGAAGACCTCTGTCCACATGTAGTGTCTAAGCTGCCTAATGAAGTGTTAACAGTGTGTGAATGAAAAACTTCTGGATTTGTACATCAGTGAATCTGATCTTGAGGATAGAATGGGAACATCCTAAAAGACAATCTTGATAGCATTATTGCAACTTTTTCTGATTCATTATTTAAAAATCCAAGCTGTATAACATACTTTTGTAATCCAGTATTTTAGAATTTAAGATTTACTTCCCCCTCTAAATATTTAACTCAAAGTCTAAAATAAATTTGTACAGGAAAAAAAAAAGTAAAAAAACCCACCTAGTATGTTCTATATTGTGTATTATTTTCTTAAAGTTGTCACAGAGCAATATGACTTTGGAATCACTTTGTCTGGAATGATTGGTGTGGTTCCTCCAAAATTTTTTTCAAAACAATATTGTTTTCATGTATTTAAAGACAACTGTTCCTAGAATCTGACATTGTAAAACCTTTTATTAGGATGGTGAAAACAACTTAGTTGATTCAATGAATAATCGCTATAGTTAAAACCAGTCATTCTCCTCAAAAAAAAATTAAAAAAAATCTTATTTTATAGTAAGTATAAGGAAGGTCTTAGAAATAATTTGCTTAGTAGGTCTTGCATGAATGAAATCTTATTTTTGTGCACTACCAGATCCTTAGGGTAGTTGTATAACCCATATACCGCAGTTGTTGTGTTTTGGTATCTTATTTAACGATCTTTTAAATAAAGAGCTGTTTGGAACAGACAACATGCCTTTTGTTCTGTTAAGAAAGAAGGAATCAAAAAAATAACATCACATGGAGCAAAGATATATGTGTATGTACCTGCAAATGAAGAGTTTATTCAAATTTTTCTGAATTTTACATTGAATAAAGTATAACTTATGGGGATATGTAACTGCAGAATACTATGGTACTGTTACCATTTGCTGCAGAAATAGACAATAATGACACAATATTGTCTTTAATATGCAGAAGGCAGCAAAATACAAACATTGCAGCGGCTTTTGAAGCTGAAATCCTTGGTGAATACTTAACTTCTATTCTCCTCAAAAGTTTGTAATTACTGAAGGCATTTTTTTCACCATAGTGGAGTTAAGAGGTACTGTTCCAAGACCCTGACTGTGGAGAATGAGGGAGTTATGAACATTATCATTAGGGGTTTTTTTTAAATAAATATTATATATACCTCCACTTTACCTTTGTGGTTTTACAGATTTCTGTGTTAGAGAGTTGAACTGAAAGGGGCTGTAAGGGAACATTCAAATGGGAAATGAAATACAGACAGATAAGGGACTTACTTAATGAGACAATGTGGGAAGATGTTAACTGGGTATTCCTTCTGTCTGGCTCCAACCAAAGAGTGTCAGAGCTGGCTGAGGCATGGGTCACATGAATTTGGAGGCAGGGAGAAAGGAAGGGGAAACTCCAGGAGAAAGCAGGAAAGAGAATCTAATACTGAGTTAAGTCTTGCAATGTCATGTTAGTTCCAAGCAGAGGATAGTAAGGGCAACCATCTGGCCTCCATTCCCAACACTTCTCTTGATTCAAGAAAAGCAGCTTGAAACATTGAGGTTTCAAATTGAGAGTTTTTAGGCTGAAACTGGAACAACTAAAGAAAGCTGATCAGGAAAAAGAGAAAGTGGGCAGCAAGAGTCAGTAATGACACAAATCAGTTCAATCACTCAGTAAGCTGTGCAGGGTAGGAATATCAGTACTGAGTAGGGCAGGAGTACAGATTGCTGTTAATAGTTTGGGGTTATCAACACCCCAGGGGTTATCAATCTGCCCAGGTTTGGAAAGGCTTGTGTTTATTTGAATCTGTATCTCAAACAAACTAGCACCATTTTTTCACACTGGTCTCAGAATGAGAAGACATTGTGGTATCCATGCAGGGTAGATAGGGGCTATGAAAAAGAACAGAAGAAAACAGCTCCAAGGAGAAGGCTTTATCACAAAGCAGAAGCTCATTTCATTCTTGAAATGTAATGAGAAACTTACATTTGTAGCTGTGTATACATTGATAGATCATACACTGTTTCTCTTCTTTGTATTATTTTCCCTGATATTTTTTTTTTATATGGTGAGAACATTTATTACAATTTATTAAAGTATTCAAAAAGAGTGAAACTTAGGAATTTAATGATTAATATCCCTTGATATTTTCCATCTTTGTTCTACTCATTCTCATCCACCATAGGACTAAATCCTTGTCCTACTTCAAACTCCTGTGCTGTTATTTACTCTGGTTCATTTAGCAAGTTCTCTAATAGGGGTGAATCAAATATTAGTGAAATAAATTACATACTGTGCATTTAGCATATATTAAAAAAAAAAAAAAAAGTTATCAGAGAAAAATATTGTCATATATGAACTGAATTTTATCCCATTTTACATGTATCCAGTTAAATTTTCAATTGAAAGCTTCAAATTCTACTAGAATTACATTAGTCTATACTTATACAGATTAATTTTCTTCCCACTAGCTCTTAAATATAGATTCATTTCTCTTCATATCATACTACTACAATATGTGTATATTATTAAAACCAGTATCTGCAGCTTCAGAATCCAGATCCATTCTTTCGAATGTTGGCACAGACCTTATTCAGAACACTGACTAAATCCTCTGTATCCTTCATGCTCTGATAA